TGTGCATTTGTAATACACATGTATGTATAACCATACACGAGTAACAGGTTTTGGTACAAATATTTGTCAGGTTATCTGTTCTTTGGGGGCAATGTTTTTAAACTGTAAAAAATATTGTCTGATCATTCCTGGAATCTTAACTAAGGAAGGCATGGTGCTTTTAAATGTGTAACATCAGGCATCACAATAGCACATAATGTTCAATACCATATAGACATATATAATTCAATATGGAGTATGTTGGAGCCTGTTGTTGGAACGAAAATGTAATATAACCTGTTTTGAAAGTTGTTATTTTTCAATAAATTAAGGAATTCATGTTAGTTTGTTTTTCCCTGAACAGATTCTATTAAGCAGTGATAAAAGATATAGAAGATCAAATTTTATTAAATAAATACTGTATATGAAGTAAAAGCAACTTGAGGAAGATAAATTATACCTCTGACAATTTTTTTGAGATCTAACATTTTGGCTGTTAAACTGTTATCCACCATATTTATTTGGGGAAGTTGTCGCAATTATTTCTAATGATCTAGTCTTATTCTTAGGATGATGTTATACTATGCTACACTATGTTAGAATAATAGTCATATGTAGGAGAGGTGACAGAAAATAAAGGACTTTAGCTTGCAGTTGTAATGTACATTGTCACTCAAAAGGTGCCTATTTTATATTTCATATTTTAACAGATGGTTTGCCAGTAGGATAGTCTGAGAAACATAATGCGCTTGTTTTGAGATTAATGTAAAAGGAATATCCTAATTTTAAGATTCCTGTGGCTTTTGTTGTTGAATTGTTTTTGCATAATTATGTTCAGTCAATAAAGTCAGAGGTTTAATGGTGTCAGAAGGATCAGATATCTTATTTTCTTGCAGTTTGTTACCAAACTGAGAATCCAATAAAACATATCAGATAATCAGTGGATGTCAAACAAAATATGTTTATTCAACCCAAGGTTATCATGTAACATTAGGTGCTGTCCATGGTGAATTGCCCTTCTGTCTTCCTTTTTATAGATTTTATTTTATTTTAAGTATTTAGTCAATCATTAGCATTAGACTGGAATGCATTAGCTTATTACAAATATTTCCCTATCTAGAATAAAACACATAGACATTTTATCTGTGTATATGTTTTTCTATACATTATATGTTTTTGTTTATATGCTTCCTTCCTTGCTATATAATGCACTCATTGTTTTTTTTATAATCACAGGAGCCAGTTTTTTTTATTTTATAAAATGATATTACTATTCCCTATACAATTACTCATTGATCTTTCAGTTTAAACCTATTGTGAACATATAGGGAAAATATTCTAACAATGATCTTCGAGATTTCATCTGAATATGTTTATCTATGTACCTCTAAGATGTGAAATGCCGGTTTTGAAAGCAATATTACTATCTCGCTCCATTGTTTCTCAAATTCCTATGAAATCTGATTTTATATGCTGGTCCTTGTTTGCTTTGTGTTGTGTTGTACTCCATGCAAAGACATTGGCAGGGGAAGGAAAATTTATCATGCTTATATGTCACAATATTTTGAACTGGCACTTGCAGCATTGGTGGCAAATGGAGAGAACCACTTTTTATGCTTGACAAGCTACTGCTCTTTTGGCTACAGAATACTGATAACAAGTGTTTGGATGAAATTAATAGAACTGAAAAGACATTTGGTATTCACAAGTTGGAAACTTTTTAGTTTGTTCTTTCAAGTTAAGATCTAACGATATGCTTCTTCTCTTTTGTAACTTGAAGTGATTACTAAAGACCAATGTATTTTGTGAATATGAAGCTTCTTCTGGAATTTGATAACCTTTAGTTACTATTTGCTTCAGGGTATGGGGAGAAAAAGTCACAAGAAAATATAATTAGAGATCAGAAATTAGAACAAAGAATAGAACTAAGGCAGAAGCTTATCCACCCCAAGGATAAAACACCCAAACATAAATTGAACAAGATGATATATGCATGTGCAGATCTGTACATTGGAGAAACAAAACAACCACTTTACAAACACATGGCACAACATAGAACAAACCCATCAAGACAATATTTATCATTTGAAAGGCAAAGTCTCTCTTTTGAAGACTGATAAACCTCCAAGTGGCCTCAAGGATTCTCAGAAAGAATGCTAAGGACCAAATGACTGCAAGAAATATAAATCTTTCCATTCTCCAAAATTCATTCATACCTGAAAAAGCTTCTTTTGTTTTAATATTTTTAAACAAAGAAAGTCCAGTTGCCTTTTGAAAAGTACCTTTGGGACAACCATGGCCTGAATGACAGAAAATCTCCATAGACAGTTAATTTATTAAATCCTTTAAAATAATAAGTGTTACATGGAAAAATATTATTTATTTTAGTTTAATTATTTGTTATATCTAAAATTTATCTGATTAGATTTGAAATATTTGTTATTCTTTCTGGTAATCATTTTATGGCTTGTATTTGGTGATACTTTGAGGATTTGTTCAAGAACATAAAGGAAGGAAATTATGGTAAGTGAGTTTACAATAGTTTATTATAGATATGTGGGTATTTCTGGTAATCCTTAGTGGACCTTTCCCAGTTAGGGTAGATGATGAGAATTTATAGTTATATTTATAGAGACTAATGTGAGATATGAGGTAAGAGATTATTTGTTGTATTTCAAGAAATGGTAATAAATTGTATATAATTTATATGACAAAATTATTCCTTTTTTCTTTTTTCATTTTTTTTACTTTTTACTCCCCCCCCCCCTGCTTTTGAACATGATCTACTGACATTTGTGGTTAGATCAACTGAACTAGTTTTAGTGTATTAAGGGTATTTAAGAAAGAAGTGGGCTTGAATTATACTTTGGAAAATGTATAACCTTCTGAAAACATTCCAGGTAAATAAATGGAGGTAAATTTACAGACTGCCTTAGTATACAGATGTTTGCAGGAAAGGAATAGGAGAAACTAGTATTTTGTTTCTTTCAATACAAAGGTCTTTAGTCAGAGGTGGTATTCAGCAGGTTCTGACCAGTTCTGGAGAACCAGTAGCAGAAATTTTGAGTAGTTCAGAGAACTGTTAAATACCACCTCTGAGTGACTCCGCCCCCATCTATACTCTGCCTTCCGAGTCTTAGCTGATCAGGAGGACATGGGAATTTTGCAGTAACCTTTCCCTAGAGTGGGGAGGGAATGGAGATTTACACAGTATCCTTCCCTTGCCAGGCCCACCAAGCCACACCCTCAGAATCGGCAGTAAAACATTTTGAATCCCACCACTGTCTTCAGTCCTAAATACAACAACAGGCAAGTAAATTATAGTCAAGCTTGCTTTCAGATGAGAAAATTTTCAGCAAATGGAACAATGACTCATTGTGGAAGTAAGCATAGCAAGAGTGAAGTTTTTGATAAAGTGATATTGTGCAGGAAAATCTCCTGATTGTGCAATTATATTGTTTTAGAGAGTTGAAAATCACAATGATGTATTTACTACACAGTGGTGAATTATAAGAAATGCCCTTTTTCTCTAAGAGATCCAAGGCAATACAATATGGAATCATATTGGATGATGGCACAGTGGTTAGAATGTGTTTGATTCTGACCAACTCAAGTTGCCTCAGCCTTTCATTCTTCCAAGGTCTGTAAAATGGGGACCCAGATTGTTGGGGGCAATATGCTGACCCTGTAAATTGCCCAGAGACTGCTGTAAAGCATGGTTTATATAAGTCTAAGTGCTAAGTGTTGTCTAGTTCTAGTTCTTCCTGGCAATTATGGATTTTGATTTGCAATATCTTGTCTAAGACTGTAACTGTTTTAAGCATTTTCCTGTAATTGGAAACAATGATAATCTATAGGTCTTTTTGGGTCCTAGGCATCTAATTGCAAAACTTTAGCAAACATAATTATTTCTACAAACATCCAAGATTGCTCTTCAGATTAGAAAAAAGCAAATACAAAGAAGAAATCAATGAAAAAAATAGTTTAAAGTGCTCTTGAGTAAAGGCATGATTTAAAGTGCCTTCTTGGCAATAAACTACTTATCCCTTTTATTTCTGCAGTACCAAAATAGTTCTATCTCTCCTACTGAATTTTTAATAGGTGTATACAGAACAAATCCATGAAGATTTTGCTTGAAGTGGAAGAAAAATGTCTTTCAAATGATATCATGAAAAGTTATTAAAAAATGTAGCTGGACCATGCCAACTGGAAAATGGATCTGACTAAAATGAGAGAGAAGGGGGGGAGGGGAGAGAAGAAAGGGAGAGGGAGAGGGAGAGAGGGAGAAAGAGAAAAGAAAAAGAAGAGGAGGAGGAAAGGAAGAAAATCAAAGCAAAGAAGAAAGAGAAAGAAAGAAAGAAAGAAGGGAGGGAGGGAGAGAAGGAAGGAAGGAAGAAAGAAAGAAAGAAAGAAAGAAAGAAAGAAAGAAAGAAAGAAAGAGAAAGAAAGAAAGAAAGAAATTGTAATACAGATTTCTGCGACCTTTTTGGATTTGCGGACTGATAGTTGGGGGCAAAGGGGATGGTTTTGCATTCACCCACTACATGTGCAAGTGGGGATGCATGTTGCTTGCCCACCACTTCCGCGGCCTGGTTCTGAAAGGCTCAAGGCTCAGTAGTGGGCTTCGGCCTGGGTGTTGGGGACCCCTGTTGTAATACGCTAGGCCAACTGTCACAAATTTAGGCACTACATACCATTCACCACCGTTCCAGTTTCCATTTTTTCCCCTTCAAAATTCGTTATTTCAACTCAATGGAAGATATTCAGTCTTTACTCAGTCACATAAGATATGTAATGGAGTTTTGAGTGAAGAGTTTTTAATACACTATACATTTTAAGTCTACTTTGACCACATTTTTGCAAAGACAATGACTTCATTCCTAGTATATATATATTTTAGGCCAGAGGCAGAGTAACACGGTCCCCCCCCCTCTCTCTCTCTTTCTCCCCCTCCCTCCCTCTCTCTCCCTCTCACCCCCACTATCTTTGGAATTATAGCATNGCAGTGGAGTTCGGCAACCAGCTGGAGAGCAAGTGGGCCATGTTGGGTACCCTGATCCAGGAGTATGGGCAGCTTCAGCGGTGCCTGGACAACATGGAGAACCTGTTGAAGAACCACAATTTCTGGATCCTACGTTTCCCGCCAGGCACCAAGGGGGAGGCAACAAAGGTGAGGACAGGTGGGGGTTGGGTCTGGCGGGGGTTAGGGAGACTGACAATTGGTCGGGGATGATGGGAGGTGCAGGTCAGCCACTGGTGGGTTTTTTTGCCATGCTGACAGGGTGACACCCTTGACGGGAGTTTAGGATGTGCGAAAGAAGCCAACACTGGTGTTTAATAGGGTTTGTCTTGGTAACCTTGGCAAATTTAAGAGGGGTGGACTTCAACTCCCTGAATTCCTCTGATAGCATGTTTTAAGCAGGATGGGCTTCAAATTCTAGAATTCCCCAGTTGCCATGCTTTAAGTGGGATTGATTTTGACTCCCAGAATTCCCCAGCTGGAATGTTTTCCGAGGGGTGGACTGCAAATGCCACACAATGCTGACTATTATTTAAGTGATTGTCTACTAGGACTCCTAGGTCCCTCTGGCAGTTACTACTGTTAATCCAGGTTTCACCTGATGTGCACATTTAGTTTTTGTTGTCGAACTGTAAAACCGTACTTTTCTCATCACTGAGTTTCATTTTGTTGGATAGGGCCCTGGGTTCAGGTCTGTCAAGATCTTTTTAGCTCATGAGCTATTCCTGCCAACTTGGTGTCGTCTGCAAATTTGATGAGTTCCACTTCTATCCCCTCATCTAAATTAGGAGTCCCCAACCTGTGGGCTGAGAATGGTTTGCAACCGAGCTGCAGAAATGTCTGGTGATCACGCAGGCACACCCTCACGGCCTCACCCTTGCGGCCTTGGTCGCACGAGCAGCGGGCAAGCGCTTGCACGCTACATTTAATTGAGTAATTCGCCCGTGTGTATGCCACTTGTGCAAATGAGCTGCATGCGCGTTTGTCGGCCGCTCGTGTAGAACCATCTCCTTTCCCTGCCACAAAGCCGCAAATGTTGCCAAACTTTGATTGAAATTGTTGATGAATCCACATTCTCACTCTGCTGCAGGTCCCATTGCTGTTTGATGACGTCGCCTGCAATTTCTTGGAGCAAGAGTGGAGCGGTCTCAACGAAAGCGAGAAGGTTCTTTATCGCCACATCATGATGCACAATTACCAGGTGGTGGTCTCTGTCGGTAAGAGCGGGCTGGCGTCAGGACTAGGCCCGCAGAGATCAGCCGCAGGAATCTCGGAGACAAACTAGGCTGCGTGCAGATCAGAACATGGATCCATGGAAGCTCAGTAGCTTCGCCCGGAGAGGGGCAGTGAGTGCTGCATCCTGGGCTGCGTCCAGAGAAGGAAGTGTCCACCTAAGGGTGCCATAGACCTCCATTTCCCATTCTTTTTTTTTCTTCAAAGTTTTTTATTTTTTTTTACATATTTTAACTTCTTTTATAAACCAAGTGTTCTCCTGGTTTTCCCCCCTTTACATCTTCTATTATGCATAGTACATTTTACATCATATTTCCATTTTACATTTCAGTCATCTTATTTTTATTTCATATTCTCCCGCTTAATTTTAATTTCTTCTTAATATTAGACAGTATCATTATTGGCCTCTAAAAATAATCAAATTTAACATATCATTTCCATCTATTATTCTACGTTACTATTAATGACATATATCCTCAAATTTAATTTTATATAATCAAGATTTCATTTCATGTAGTAATTTTAATTTATATCCCTCACAATATATTGCATATATACCATTGGCTATATTTGCTAAATTTCATTCTATTCTACTAGTAAATCAGCAGTTCTCAACCTGTGGGTCGCAACCCCTTTGGGCTCGAACGACCGTTTCATAGAGGTCGTCTAAGACCATACACCTCCACTGGTGTCGCACATGCTCAGGAGCACGTCCTGAAGCAGCAGGTGCATCAAGAGCGCCGGGCGCAACCCAGACACCACCCCAGCCAGTCTCCATGCCAGGGAAAGGCCGAGGTGCTGGAGTGGGAGAGAGATGGGTTCTTCTGGGTGGCAGATCAGCCTCGGCTCCGACGGACGTCCAAAGCGAGTGCGGTCAGTAGTGCCACTTCAGCCCAGCCTCCTGCACAGGGGCTCGAAGGTGGCTGGAGAGCAGGAGACCACCGGGGCAGTCGGGCGCACTTCAGCTGGCGGGACGGGCTCTCGCTCAGGCAGGCGCATGCCGGGATTCAAGCCGCCTTGGGCCTGGACTCTGCCTTTGCTGCCCTCACCGCCGGTCCTGTCCTGCGGACTAAATGGAGCTCGGAGGCTTTTTGGCCCCAGGGAAGGGCTGGCAGGAGAGGCCGAAGGGGAGGACAGACCCCGCCCATCCATTCCTTCCATCCCGAGGAATTCCACTCATTACGGAAGCACAGTTTGATGTAGCTTAAGCCTCCGTTTAAAATCCCATTTAAAGGGCAACTTCTTAATCTGTGTTAATCAGTGACGTGCAGTCAGGGGAGGTAGGGGAGGCAGAGCCTCACCACTGTCATCATGAAAAGAAAAAAAATTGTAAAAGGAAAAAGGCAAGAGCTGAGGTCAGGCTGAGCTAGTTGCTGCCAGAGTCACAGTGGATGACTGCTTAGTGCTTAACTGTTTAAAAAAAGCCTCTTAAAAAGCACCCTCTACAGGAGAAGGCAGGAGAACAACGTGCCTCATCTAGTCTGACTTTAGGCCTTTTTATGATCACTCGAGCAGAGTTAAGCAAGGGTTAAAAGCCGAAAAATTCCTGACGTAGATGAGGCACGTTGTTCTCCTGCCTTCTCCTGTAGAGGGTGCTTTTTAAGAGGCTTTTTTTAAACAGTTAAGCACTAAGCAGT